AAGCCGCTATGCCCAGCTCAACAATTATTTATTAATTATCAAAATATTAAGTGGACTTACATCTTTATGTTTTTTGAGCCTTGCCTTAAATTCTGATGTTATTAATATTTTTATGCATAAAAATGTTTCTTATTCATGAACTTGAGAATACTTTTTCTTTTTTTTGAGACAGAATCTCAGGCTGTAGCCGTGGTTAGAGTGCTGTGGCATCATCATAGCTCACAGCAACCTCTAATCTTGGGCTCAAGCTATCCTCTTGCCTCAGTTTGTTCTGTTTTTTTTTTTTTTGAGACAGAGCCTCAAGCTATCCCCCTGGGTAGAGTGCCATGGCATCATGCTCACAGCAACCTCCAACTCCTGGGCTCAAGTGAGTCTCCTGCCTGAGCCTCCCAAGCAGCTGGGACCACAGGCGCCCACCACAAGGCCTGGCCATTTTTTGGTTGCAGCCATCATTGTTGTTTGGCGGGCCCGGGCTGGGGATTCGAACCCGCCACCTTAGGTGTATGTGGCTGGCGCCTTAGCCGCTTGAGCCACAGGCGCCGAGCCAGTTTGTTCTGTTTTTAGTAGAGATGGGGTCTTGCTTTTTGCTCAGGTTGGTCTCAAACTCAAGCAATCCGCCTGCCTCGGCCTCCCAGATTGGTAGGATTACAGGCCTGAGCCACCGTGCCTGGTCCTGAGAACACTTTCAATACCAGCTGTGTTGGTTTTTCCTCCCAGGAAACTTGCTAGTTATCTGCAGATTCTCACATTACCTAGAGTTAACCACAGACCTTGTAGTTAACATGTTTATCACCCCAAGGATGACCTTTCCATTCAGCTACAAGTAGGAGTCATCAAGTAATCCACACTTCTGTCCATCTTCAGTGTAAATAAGGGGTACCCATTACCCCCTCCCATGTTAAATAATTTGCTAGAACAGCTCACAAAACTTAGGAAGCTACTTTATTTGCTATAATTATATTATGAATTTATTACGAAGGATGCAACAATAAATACTGCCAGCTACTTGATGTGCTCATTAACCCAGAAACTCCCTGTGCATCCACAGGAGTATAGGGAGGTCCCAGTACATTAGCATGATTAATTAAATCATTGTCCATTGGTGATTGAATTGAACCTCCATCCCTACAGTGATTGGGCAGTAAGGTTTGGAGGCTTCTATTTTATCTTCTCAAGTTCCAAAAGCAAAAGTGGTCTCAGCTATGTATGTCTTACTCTCTCTGGCATCTGGTATTATTGTGCTTAAAGGTCATATCATCGTGTGCTCTGAGATTTCCCTCATTACACATCCCATTTATTCATTATTTTATCCTCAGCTCCAATTTCTCATTCTCCCCATTTATCACCACGTTTTTCCACCTTGGGAAGAGACATTAGATTCAGCCACAGTGCTGGTTTAGATTGCAGGCAGCAGTACTAGTCTAGCAAGAGCATCCACTTTAACTACTCTCATTCATATAGAGTAGAATTACAGCGGTATAGAGCTATAACACCAGGCAGTATAGCTACATTTACTTATAACCCCAGTTTTCCACATGGAGTGGGGACACAAACCATTGCATAATTCCATTAGGCATTATGACAGTACAGTTTAAAAATAGAGTTTCAGTTTCTTGCTTTCGAATTATCTCTGATTCTAGCACTCATAGCTATAGTCTTAGTTCTGTGATTACTGCATCTATTTAGGAAGAAGAAAGTTAAGGTGATTTCAGGAAGAAAAAAATCATAGTATAATACCAGCAATTTTACCCACTCTTCTTCCCCAGATGCTGCTGAGAATAGGAATCTATCTAGTGAGGATCCTGGCTAAATTCCCCTAATCCCTTCTGTTTGTATTTTCTCTCATTTTAAATGAACCGTGTTTATGAGTTTATGTGTAAATTCTGTATGTATAAAACCAAACTGTAACCCAGCCACGATAAGAGCACTTGCTCAAGGCTTCTTAGCTGTGGTTTCAGGCTGGCCTCGAACCTGTGAATTCAGGCAATCCACCCACCTCTGCCTCCCAAGTGCTAGGATTATAGGCTTGAGCCACTGCGCGCAGCCCCCAGACTATACACTTTCAAGAGTTACTCAGTAGAATTTCCTGGAAAGGTCTTGCAAAAAATAAGTAAAATTAGGCTTGAAATAATGACACCAGAAATGTCCGCAGATCTATGGGTCAAAAAGGCCACAGTGCGGAGAATATCAGATTCTATTACAAAAGAATGATTTTTGTGTTTGTTTTCCTGTAAGGAATAAAGGCAAGCTTTTTTTTTTCCTTTTTTTTTTTTTGTTCACACTTCACAGAAGGGGCAGACTATGTACATTGGGGCCAATTGTGTTAAAACTGATGAGGTGCCACATACATTGGAGCATATTAGTGAGGGATGGTGAGTCCAAAATCTCAACTCACTTGTCAGAAATTCCACCTTTTCTGGAAAACAGCTCACATAGGTCAAGTAGTTAGCTAAAAGTTACAGGGTTCTGCTCATCAATCCCTACTGGCCTGAGAATATAAAACATGAGAGAAATAGGATTATAAATAACAGATAGAGGCTGGGCAGTAACAGATACAGGCTGGGCACGGTGGCTGACAACAGTAATCCTAGCACTCTGGGAAGCAGAGGTGGGTGGATTGCCTGACTAGCCTGAGTAAGAGGGAAACCGTGTCTCTAAAAATAGCCAGGGGTTATGACCGGCGCCTGTAGTCTCAGCTACTTGGGAGGCTGAGGCAAGATAATCGCTTGAGCCCAGGGGTTTGAGGTTGCTGTGAGCTGTGATACCACAGCATATTACTGAGGGTGACAAGTGAGACTCTGTCTCAAAAATAAGTAAATAAATAAATGAATAACAGAGGTCATTGAAATTTGTTCATAGATTCAATTACAATAGCACAGAGCTGTTTGTTTTTGAAATCACCTACTCTATCAACCTTTTTCAGTGATATTTTTATGTAGTTTTAAAAGGCTTTTATTTTTCGTGCAAATGAACATAGTCTTCTATAAATTGTTGACAGTTTATAATCCTGACTGAAGCTTTTTTTGCATATTCTCTTTAATCATTTGGAAGATTTGGGGGAATCATCTCATTTTATGTTTTCTGAATTGATAATACAAGTCTCTGGATGCTATGTAATAATCTTAATTTCTATCATATATTATAAATGCATCTTTAATCATACACTCGTGTTTCTTTTCTTTTCTTTTCTTTTTTTTTTTTTTTTTTTGAGACAGAGCCTCAAACTGTCTCCCTGGGTAGAGTGCTGTGACATCACAGCTCACAGCAACCTCCAACTCCTGGGCTCAAACAAGTCTCCTGCCTCCACCTCTCAAGTAGCTGGGACCACAGGTGTCCGCCACAACACCTAGCTATTTTTTGGTTGCAGCCATCATTGTTGTTTGGCAGGCCAGGCTGGATTTGAACCCGCCACCTTAGGTGTATGTGGCTCGCGCCTTAGCCACTTGACCCATAGGTGCCGAGCCTTTTTTTTTTTGAGTCAGAGTCTCATTTTGTGACCCAGTACAGTGCTGTGGCATCATAGCTCACAGTAACCTCAAACTCTTGGGCTGAAGCCATCCACTTGCCTTAGCCTCCCAAGTAGCTGGGACTAAAGGCGCCCCCTACAATGCCCAACTATTTTTTTTTTTTTGAATCAGAGTTGCAAGCTGTGACCCTGGGTAGACTGCCGTGGCATCATAGTTCACAGCAGCCTCCCACTCTTGGGCAGAAGCTATCCTCTTGCCTCAGTTATTTCTGTTTTTTAGTAGTGATGAGGTTTCAAACCTTGGCTGATCTCCAGAGCTTAAGCTGTCCACACTCCTTGGCCTCCCAGAGTGCTCATGTTTATTTTCAGTGCATTCTTTCTCAGAAGTCCTATGGGTGTGGCTAGATAATAAATTTTCACAATCATGAACAATGATCGCTTTAATTTCTTAAACTAACTCAATGTATCAGCATACAATAGAACCTCCATAGTTGTTGACCACCTTTCTACATTGACCACTTCTGTATTTTGACTAGTTTCTTATAGTCTCTTGGGTGGACCCTCTATAGTATGCCACCTCCCTAAATTGACCACCTCCATATGTTGACCAGTTTGTTATAGTCCCTTGGGAGGTCAACTTACAGAGGTTGTAGTGCAGTTATTTTCACTTATTTTAGTTGGCTTGGGGTGTTGTCTATGTTCATTGATTCCTGATATTAGCTTAATTACAGTTCATGTTAATTTTATTCACTTGGTTATTGTTCTCTCTGACAGATTTTTTTCTGTCAAGGTAATTTTCTGTATTATTTTCTGTAAAGCTAATTATTTTTATCTTAATTATTAATAGATACCTTGTAGAGGTTTACCAGCTTATGTGTAGACACCATCACATTGAATCTAGAAGATCCCTTTTCCTTTTAGAGTGCCTTTCCATATAGCTTGCTTTGGAAAATGAACACTGTCATCATTATTTTCTGGTCACATGAACTGGGATAAATCCAGGCTCTGCAGCTTACTGGATGTTTGAAAGACATTCTTCTTGTGACAGAAGCATTGACATCACCAGTGAGCTGGTTAGAAATTCAGGCTTCACCCTAGATCTCCTGAATCAAAATCTTTTTGATTAGATCAGAATCATTTTAACTAGATCTCCAGTTTATTGCTGTACACGTTGAAGCTTGAGATGTAATACCTGTTAAATATACACACCATCTCAAATATACACACATTTATCCTGCTTGATATAAATGTTGCACTCAAAAAGATAAATGTTTGTATTGATGCCCTTAATTTTATACTGTATCATTCAGATTACTATCTACAGTGGTTTTGTGGGTCTTGTGTCATCCTCTTTTCCTCATATTTAGAGACTATATTACACAGTATTTCTATATTAAAATTTACCTTTTTGAGTAATTCCAGTCACTCATGGGGGTAAGAAACAGTATTATTATTATTTCCTCTATCATTTCACCTGAAGTCAAATTAAGAACTCTTCCCATGGCCACTTTGTGAATATGCATTTTTCTTTTAGGAACTGTTGACGTTCAAGGATGTGACCATAGAATTTTCTCCAGAAGAGTGGGCATGCCTGAACCCTACTCAGCGGGATTTATATAGGGATGTGACGTTAGAGAATTACAGAAACCTGTTCACCCTGGGTGAGCATAACTTTAATACACAATTTCTGTTTCAAGGATTTTATATTTTTCCTTTGAAGAATGTTTTTTGGGAGTTCGTGCTTTATATGAATGAGTGTCAAACCTTTGTTTCCAAGGAAAACTTAAGGATATGTTAGTATAGAAAAGAGTCTCTAAAATGTTTTATCTTAACATTACTCTTACTCTTTCTTGAGATATCTGTACATTAGTGGTACTTCAGAAATTTAATGATACAAAATGTTGTTATCTACACCTTAAAAGACAATTTCTACCATCAATTTTTGATTGACTTGTACTGGGTAATAAAGATAAGGACCCCACAAATAGTACATACTTCCTCAGTATTCTGAAGTTTCTGTTGGAAAATGACACTTTGTGATTAATTTTTTAAAGTATTCTGTAATGCTCTTTCTTCTCTACTTTGTACAGTGGTAGATTGGTAATTGGAGAGTCCTAGCAAGACTCATGTTACTTTTTTCTAATAAAACAGGTCTTACTCTCTCTAAGCCAGACCTCATCACCTGTCTGGAGCAAAGAAAAGAACCCTGGAAGGTGAAGACACAACAAACAGTAGCAGAGCAACCAGGTAGGTGGGAGTGAAGGAAGCAGATGACACAGGTGAGAGGTCCAAAGGTCAAGGAGGAAGCCAGACCTGAAAATTTTGGTTTGGGAAGCTCTGCTGCAATGGAAATGGTTTCTTTCTCTTAGTATCAGAAATATGGGCATCTCTGTTCCTGTTCTTAAGTTATCTAGGGACTTGACTTCCTTTTCAGCGATCTTCCTTCACAGTTACACTGAGAGTCAAAGTCCTGTGTAACTTTGGACTAACAAGGGACTGCAGGATCTGATTGCTCTTCTGCTGCTTTTCAGGTTGCAAAAATATCTGTGTATTTTGAGGAACTCTGTGTTATACCATTTTTAAATTTCCCTTTTTGTTTTTTAATTTTCTTGGCTTTTGTTTTGAGACAGAGTCTCACTTTGCCATGCCCAGTAGAGTACCATGGCATCACAGTTCACAGCAACTTCAAACTCTTGAGCTCAAGCAGTCCTCTTACCTCTGCCTCCCAAATAGCTGGGACTGCAGGTGCCCACAACATCCAGCTATTTTTAGAGATGGGGTCTTGCTCTTTCACAGGCTAGTCTCAAACTCCTGAGCTCAAGCAATCCACCTGCTGCCTCCCAAAGTGTTAGGATTACAAGCATGAGTCACCATGCCTGGTCTTTTTATTTAATTTTTAATAACTATCATTTTACAATTTTCTCTTACTTAGTATGAAGCTTACTTTGTGTCCTTTGTGTATATGTGTGTGTATGTTTGTATATGCGACATAGACTTTATTCACAAATAAAAGTTGTATAACTATATAATTAATGTATGTAGTATAAGGCCTGTGATAATATATGCACATATCAAGTCTATGAGCATATCTAATGCTTCACGGTTATCTCCTTTTGGTACTTAGAACCTTTAAGGTCTACTGTTAAAGTACATTTTAAAATAAAAACTATCATTATTAGCTATAGATACAGTGCCATACATCAGGCCCACAGAACTTATTTATTCATCTTACAACTGAAAGTTTGTATTATTTTAATAACATCTCCCCATTTTTTCCCACCTTTGTATGTTCTGCTTCTATATACATATATATATATAGATGCTTTATAGCATATACAAAGCAATATAATGCTTTTTAGATTCTCTGTGTAAGGGAGATCATGGCATGTTTGTCTTTCTGTACCTGGCTTATATGGTTAGCATAATGTTCTCTAGGTGCATCGAAGTTGTTGAATTGATTGAATAATATTTTTAATTAATGAATAATATTCTGTGGCATAAATATGCCATATTTTATTTGTCCATTCAGTATTCATAAAATTTAGGTTGTTTTCCTATCTGGGCAATTATAAATAATGTTGCAATGAATAGAGGAGTGCATGTATTTATTCAACATACTATTTATTTTCTTTGATTCTGTACACTGAAGTGAGATTCCTGAATTCTATATAGTTCTACTTTTGTAATTTTTTTTATTAAGTCATAGCTGTGTACATTTGTTGCCTCCCGACCGGCGGGTGGCAGCAGTTTGGGGAGTCCGCGTATGAAAGGGGATTGACAAATAAGACAAAGACAGACACACTGGGAAAGGGACTGAGCCGAAGCTGTTTATTGTAATAGGTAGGGGGTTTTATAGGTTTAGTTAGTGGGGGAACGAGGGGTACTTCTAGATTTGATTATGTATGTAGTCCTGGTTTGTGATAGGCTAGTATTGTGAGGATGAAGTAGGAAGAAGGTGGAGAGTGATATGAGTAAATTTCTTTGGAATGTGTGCACGTGTTAAATCGCCTCTGGTCTTTTGTATCGTTTTTCTTAATCAGCAAGGTCATTGGCACCTCCTTCTAAGATGCACTTTCTCTTGAATGTCCTGTAATATAGTTGTTAACTCTTACATACATTAATGCAATTATGGGGTACAATGTGCTGGTTTTATTTACCATTGGAAATATTTTCATCAAACTGGTTAACATAGCCTTCACCGCATTTTCTTAGATACTATGTTCAGACATTTATACTCTACACTTAGCAAATTTAACATGTACCCTTGTAAAATGCACCGTAGGAGTGGTCCCATCACTTACCTTCCCTCTACTCATCCTCCCCCCTCCCCTCCCCTCCCTCTCCCTCTTTCCCCTTCTTTTTGGGCTATAGTTGGGTTATAGCTTTCATATGAAAGCTATAAATTGGTTCCATAGTAGGGCTGAGTACATTGGAGACTTTTTCTTCCATTCTTGAGGCACTTTGCTAAGAATATGTTCCAGCTCCATCCATGTAAACATGAAAGCAGTAATTCTCCGTCTTGTTTTAAGGCTGCATAATACTCCATGGTGTACAGATACCACAATTTATTGATCCATTCATTTGTCTATAGGCACTTGGGCTTCTTCCATGACTTAGCAATTATGAATTGGGCTGTGATAAACATTCTGGTGCAAATATCTTTGAACTGGTGACCTGTAGAAGACAGAAACTAGACCCACACCTTTCACCATTAACTAAGATAAGATTCTCATTGGATTAAAGATTTAAACTTAAGCTATGAAACTATAAAAATGCTAGAAGAAAGTGCAGGGAAAATATTGAAGAAATCAGGCTGAGTGAAAGTGTCCCACGAAACCCCTTGTTCGGAGACACAGAGGAAAGCACTGCTAGACAAAATGATTGGAATGAAAAGGGGGGCTGAGGCTGTCAGGCACACAGCTGACACCCATGTTCATTGAGCTCCTTATAAACTTATCTTAGTAAAGGTTAAAAATAGCAAAAAGAAGCAAAACAAGGTAAGATTTGTTAAAACTACCATTAAAATTCCAAATCAGCATAAAACTGCTACTGATCACAAGCACAGTTAAAAAAGGCATTTTTACTTCAGACTTAAGCACAAAAGCGCCAAGATGTCTGTTCCTGTTTGCCCATTTCCTTTAAGCTAAAACTGACCACTGTTGTGTAAGTGAGGGGGAAGGTACAGGATACAGCAGCCCACTGCCTCAGCAAGTGTTATCTCCAGCTACAACCTGGCGAAACCCAGGTATCTTATCTGTAAACATGTGACTGTCTGCTTTTAGGCAGATCTAAACATATTCTCAGAGTAAGAAGCTTAGAGTCACGTTCCTCAGAGAGCACTTGAGAATAAACTACCATGCTTAGGTACGGGGGGCTGCACCCCAACAGCTGGGCAAATATTTTATGAGGAAGACCCCTGGGCAATTGAAGCAACACCAAAAATACATTACTGGGATCTGATCAAACTAAAAACCTTCTGTACAGCCAAAAACACAGTAAGTAAAGCAAGCAGACAGCCCTCAGAATGGGAGAAGATATTTGTAGGTTATGTCTCTGACAAAGGTTTAATAACCAGAATCCACAGAGAATGCAAACGTATTAACAAGAAAAGAAAGAACAGGTGATCCCATCTCAGGGTGGGCAAGGGACTTGAAGAGAACTTCTCTGAAGAAGACAGGCACGTGGGCTCAGCACCTGTGGCTCAAGTAGCTAAGGCGCCAGCCACATACACCTAAGGTGGCGGGTTCGAATCCAGCCCAGACACGCCAAACAAGAATGACAGCTGCAACCAAAAAATAGCCTGGCATTGTGGCAGGCGCCTGTGGTCCCAGCTACTTGGGAGGCTGAGGCAGGAGACTCGCTTGAGTCCAGGAGTTGGAGGTTGCTGTGAGCTGTGAAGCCACAGCACTCTGCCCAGGGGGATAACTGAAGCCCCGGCCCAAAAAAAAAAAAAAAAAGACAGGCACGCAGCCTACAGACACATGAAAAAATGTTCATCATCCTTAATCATCAGAGAAATGCAAATCAAAACCACTTTGAGATACCATCTAATTCCAGTAAGATTAGCCCACATCACAAAATCCCCAAACCAGAGATGTTGGTGTGGATGTGGAGAAAAGGGAACACTTATGCACTGCTGGTGGGGATGCAAACTAATACGTTTCTTTTGGAAAGAAGTTTGGAGATCACTTAGGGGTCTAAAAATAGACCTGCTATTCAGTCCTTAAATTCCTCTACTATGTATATATCCAGAAGACCAAAAATCACTTTGCTTTTGTTATGTTTTAAAGAACCTCCATACTTGTTTTTGTCATGAATCTGCCAACTCACAACTCAACCACAGTGTCCAGGATTTCTTGTTCTTCACATTCTTATGAAACTTGTTATCTCTTCTTTTTGGTATTAGCCATTCTTATACATATGGCTGAAAAGGTATTTCATGATTTTGATGTGTAATTCCCTGATGATTGGTGACATAGAGTACCTTTTTGTATACTTTTTGGCCACTTGTATGTCTTCACTGGGAAAATATCTAGTTTTATCCTTTTTTTTCATTTGTTGTTGTTATAGTCATTATTATTTTGGTTTTGATTTACATGCATTCCTTACGGAATTTGGATATTAACCTCTTATCAAACATATCTGTCCTATCAATATTGTTATTTTATTTGCAGTAAACAAGCTTTTTAGATTGATGCAATCCAGCATGTTTGTATTTGCTTTTATTTTCATACTTTTTGTGTCAGATCCAAAAAAATCCATTACCAATATCAATACCAAGAATGTTTTTCACGTTTTCTTTTATTGTCTTTTAAGGATTCATATCTTACATACATCTTTATTTTGAGATAATTTGAGAAAATGGTATAAGAAAAATTGTCATTTTTTTTCTTGGTGTATATCCAGTTTTGCTGCCACCAATTATTGAATAGATTATACTTTCTGGATTCTTGTTGTCTCTGTCAAGGATTAATTGACTTTGTAAACATGGGTTTATTTCCTTGGTCTCTATTCTCTTCCATTGGTGGTTGTGTCACTTTTAATGTACATACCATTCTGTTTTTATTTTATTTGTGTAGTTTTGTTATATAGTTTGAAATCCAAAAGTACGATGGGCTTGGCTCCTGTAGCTCAGTGAGTAGGGTGCTGGCCACATACACCAAGGCTGGCAGGTTCGAGCCCAGCCTGGGCTTGCTAAACAACAATGATAACTGTACCCAAAAAATAGCCGGGCATTGTGGTGGGCACCTGTAGTCTCAGCTACTTGGGAGGCTGAGATAAGAGAATCACTTAAGCCCAAGAGTTTGA